ATTAACTCATATATGAAATATGCACATTGATACCAAAATGTTGCCATCTAATGAGATGTATTATGTCTAATTAAAACCACAACAGTTTTAAGAAGAGATTATTATTCAAAATATGTTTTATCATATTTAGAATGTTTACTAGTAAAGAAGTGTTACTGTTATTCACTGGCTCAGTGATACAAGTAAATTACCAAAGTTCGCAGCCATTTTGGACAAGGAGAGACACTGAATGAGAACATTGTTATGATTTATAGCGTCGAGCAGACAATAAAACTGAATAACCTTTGTGGAATGTTGGCTGCCCTCTTAAACGTATTATTCTTTTCCAACCACGCAGAGCGGGAGGTGATTTATTCAGTTTCATTTATACATTAGAAATACCCCGGCCGCAGGAAACCTGCCGACTGGGTGAATTTCCATTTGTCTGAATTGATTTTCAATTAAATCTTTTTGAATAACATCGGAGTTGAGAAGTACCTAGGTTTACTGCTACAAGGAAACTAATAAAGTGTGTTTTTTGGTAAAATATCAATAACTTAGTATAAAATAAATAAACTTGCCAATTTTTATCAAAATATATCTATGAACAAGCAAACTACAACACTTTACATTATTCTCAATAAAAATAACATGAAAATTATAAATTTACAATTTTTTTTTATTTTCTCCGTTACCAATATTTGTACAAAAAACACTTTGATATGCTAAATTATTTGTTTTTAAGCTCTTTCAAGAGGTCTAGAGATAAATTGGATTTTTTTTGTGTTTTGAGGGTAAAAACTTAGAAAACCCAATTTTAACCCATAAAACCCCCGTTAACCCCCGTTCCCGTGGTCCGATCATGCTGTTCACGAAATGATTCAAGTTTATCCCACCCTATCAATACCAAACTTCATCGAAATCGGACAAAATTTACTCGTTCACGGGTACACACTCACACACAGACATATATATATATATATATATATATATATATATATATATATATTAATAATTGGAAACATTATAACAACATTAAATACCCTTTTAAATTCATTTTAATTAAGCAACGACATGTTTCGACACTTAGGTCATAGTCATGTTTTTATACAAATACAATAACAAATTAATGAAAGGAATAAATATAGTCATATGTTAAGCTAACTTAAAATTTAGAGGATCTTGATCTATTCTTTGTTTAATTTTGCGTATATTATATAATATTTCTGTTTTATTGCAATTGTAGGATTTTTTCGAATATCGGATTTGTTTTGTTGATGTTCATGGTATTCAGTAAATTTTGAGGAAATCTGTTGTAATTTGTGTATGTATGAAAATCTTCCTTGACATTTAATTTTGTTTTATTTCTTTCATATTCTAGAATGTCTAAATTTGCATTTATATTTTTGTATTCATGTCGAGTTTCGATAAGGTGCTCTGCAAAATTTGATTTCATTGTCGTTTTGTTACCTGATTTTAACGCTTGTATATGTTCTGTAAATGAAAGGCTCAGTAGATTTTGAGTTTATCTCATACAAACACACACACACTCACACACAGACAGAAAGACACCACTTCTTCTTTATAATAGTATAGAGTAGATCGATGTAAAAATCACAAATGTTAGAAATTTTGCTGCCTTTGTATGTGAGCCCCTGAGATCCATATTGGTACAAGTCACAGTAAGCTAATTTTGAGAATTCAGAAGTGTTTAGTAGATATCTTACCACAAATCATAAAATTGATTTTAAGTTTGTTAGTATTCATAACTGTATTATTTAATAGTGTATACAACTTTTTATCTCAGATTAGAGGCATTTTTTGAATGGGGTTGTTTTTTCGGGGTTGAAATGTTTTTAATATCTTACCGTAAATCATCAAATTAATTTAAAGTTTGTTAGTATTCATAACTATATTCATTAATAGTGTATACATCTTTTTATTACAGATTAGAGGATTATGGGGTTGTTCTGTAGGGGTTGAAATTACTTATACCATTCTGCCTTGACAACATTTTCATGAAACTTCTAGATAAATTAGTAAGTTATTTTTATAGCTGATACACAATTTGACTTTTATTGACATAAAACATAATTAATTTACATCAACTGTAGGCTTCAGACAAAACTTCAGAAAAACAACAACCTGAACTTTGTTTTGCTATACTTTGTCACAGTCTATGAAGTGGCAGAGTGGTACAAAATCACTGACTGAAGTAACGTTGTTTGCAGCAATAGTGGTACAAGTCTGACTTGAACAACTATGGTTGCTAAGGATAGGTACCAGCTGTTTTGGGAGCAAAACAAATAAAAACATAATTCCCTCTAAAATCCTTGTATTGGTGATTGCAATTGACTTATATACCACTTTGCCCACAAATAGAACCATTAAAGTGTGATCCATTAGTACCAAAAATCAATTAAAAAAAATACTTATGCCACTATGGATCTCATGGGCTCATGTGTGAAAAACTGTGAAATATTTTGTTAAAGGTACATAATTAAAACTTTTGATCTACTCCAACTAATTTAAAAAATCTGTTGTTCCCTAAAAATTAGACATCAATTATCAATCATTGATTTGAGTACGCCACCGATGTGGGGCTCATATTTTAACCCAAATATGAGTAAAGGATGAGTGTAGAATCAAGACCCACAGGAAAAAAACTCTAGAAAAAGTGCTTTAATGGAGTCTTGGTAGAATGGAGTGGGATTATCTTAGTCATCAACTAAGATCACAATATGTTATTGCCTGTGTTAGCCGGGATAATTTTTTTGAAGCCTAATGATCAAGAACTAATGAATCTAGTTTCGAACCATCGCTACAGGCGTTTTTGGTAAAACTATGAGTAGTCGTATAAAAACGGAGCAAAGCCTTTAAGAGCATAAAATTACTGAAAAAAGAGTTGCTGGCTCAGTCAGAAGCGTGACAAAATATGTGGAACCAAAACTGATGTCTATGTTCCGTTTCCCAGTGCCACCACTAAACTTTTTCCCCTTTTTATGTGTTTCACATACAGAACTTTGAGGCCCATATGGTCACCAATCTAGCCTATTTTATTCAAGAAAACAAATAAATCCCTTTGTAATCTATCTATATATATAACTAGCTGTAACCCGCGGGCTTTGCCCCGTTTAACTTCTTAATTTTCAAGATGATCTCGTTCGCATGGCTCAATCACGTCCTGGTTGAAGTTCGTTCGCTACGCTCACTCACCTTTAGGTTGGAGCTCGTTCGCTACGCTCACTCACCTTTAGGTTGGAGCTCGTTCGCTGCGCTCACTTGCCTTCAGGTTAGCTCGTTCGCTACGCTCACTTGCCTTCAGGTTAGCTCGTTCGCTACGCTCACTCACCTTTTTGGTTGCAAATTAGCTGTTTTCATAAATGTAAAAGAAATAATAGTGCTGCACCCTGTTGGTAATCCTTGTAACTTTAATGCTATTGAACATCATAGAACAGAACCAACTTGTTTAATTGAAACAGCTGTTAAGATTCATTAATTCCATTTCTCATAAGGTTAACATGGGAAACTCCAGAGCCACTGGGGCGGAGCCTATTGGACGGATCACGAAATTGATGGTGTATAAACCTATTCCATGACATTCTACACGTATGTACCAAGTTTCGTGGCAATCGGTTCAGCGGTGTCCGAGTTTATCACCCCCAAACAAACAAACAAACAAATATATATACAAACATCCTCTTTTATAGATATAGATTCTGTAAGACCAAATTTTTACCAAAAAATTTGTGGACGTCTGGTAAGTCGCAGAAAGGTGGGAGGGGTCTTAAATTAAAGGTCTTGACCCCAGGGACTCGGGAAAAATAGCAGAATTCCCATAAAGTTACCAGAAAACGAGATATAATGTAAAATATCCACCATAAGAAATGCATGGGGACTGAAAAACGTCTGCATTCTATCAGCTGTTACTTATTTATTTGCAATGTTTACATTTATTCTGAAAGTCAATTTTGGTAAATAATGTTTCAAAATTAATTGTGTTTAATGTTTTTGTTTTTCCGTTTTTATAATGAGTGAAGTAACTAAACAGGGTAGGGGAAGACCTGCAAGACGTGGATGCAAGACATGGAAGAGTGTCCAGGAATTCAACAGACTTAAGAAATGCAAAAGAGAACGTCATGTGGGGCCTAACTGTGAAAGAAATCCAGAAACTGTTTTACAACCTATCTTTAGAAGAACGCTGGAATATGAGTTGAGTGTTGTTTCTCACAATCTAGGTCCTCTTAAAGCACTTGCATGCATTGTGGCGCATTTCCCTTCGCAGAGGAGGCCACAAATGGAAATTTCAACGCATGTTGCCACAATGGGCATGCCACAACCACAAGTAAATGACGAACTAAAAGAACTGTTTTTACATGATTCGAACTTCATAAAAAACATTATAAGGCAATACAACAGTTTTTTGCGTCGCTTTCCGCTACACAAAAAGAGAGTTCCGGGAAATGAGCCTTACTGTCTTAAAATTTAGGGACAAATTCATACCTAGATATATTTCTGACTTACTACCGCGAAATGGGGAGTTGCCCTCATAATAATTAATAATAATTTTAACCTTTACATTTCGTTCTCAAAATTGAAACTATAACAGAATTCGTAAGATTACAAAACAAATCTTCAATTTTAAACTAGAAAAGATGTGCAATGTTTGGCTGTATGATTTCAGCTCTGATTCGTCGTTCTGCGGGCTCAGACCAAACCGTGTGCACGTTTCCATTTGTTAATATGTTGTGTTATTGATTTAATCATTATTTTACAATTGTATTTCATTGACACATCAGAAGTAACTAATATACGACTCCAAAACGGAAGGAAAACCAAGATATAAAACAAGAAACACTGTTAATTTTAAGTTACATAAAATTGATAATTAATTTTAAAAACATATTTAGAATATTTGTCTTTTTATATATAGTTTTTTTTTTTTTATTGTAGTCTAAATTAGGGGCTATGGCCCCTACAGGCCACTAGTCTATACTATTTAGATCAATTTACCTCTACAGGTATCATGGATCAGACGGAGAGACCTGCACATCATAGCGTCAGCAGGCTTCATGTTCACAGCTGATGCCAGGTTCAGCGTGCTGCATCCCGAGGGTGACTCCTCAGCATGGACGTTGCAGCTGACGGGGGCTCAGCCCCAAGACCAGGGGCTGTATGAGTGTCAAGTCAATACAGAACCTAAGATGAAACAGGCTGTGCTGCTCACAGTGACTGGTATGTATGTTCTTACTGCACCTGTAGGATACAAAAACCAGAAAAATATACTGTTTTAATCATCTGGCCATGAAATATAAGAAATAAAAAAGTTTATTAAATGTAGGGAACAACTATTTTACTGGTCAGTTTCTTATTCGTCGAACCAGTTGACTGACATGACACTTGCTCGACCAATTCAGTTGACTAGAATTTTAATTAAATGAATAGGAAAACACAATAATGTCAACATGACGTATAAGCAAAAGCATATTTATACTAGGGGTCACGAGAGTCTGCGGTTGGTGCCAGCCAATAGCAAGACGGGACTAGCACGACATCGCCCGTTCATTAATATTCGATACTAATAAAATAGACTAAACAGTATTTTTATATCAGCTGGTATTACTAGATTTGGCTACCCCGCACCGGCCTCATTAGCTCCTTCAAAGTCACGTGGTTAATAGGCTCCACCCTTTACTGCCATGGACCGTACTGATTGTTCCTGATATTTCCAGATTCGGTACCAGTGGATGATGCCCTTGAGCTGTCTATGGGCGATGATGCCTCTGCCCTAACAGGTTAGTGTTAGATATATTCATGTTACTGCCTATTAGGCATGTTTTTATCCCTAGATAATGCTAGATAATTCCTATATAGATTAGTTAGACAGGTTACTGTTGAAGCTAATGATATCTTGTGGCTAGTTAGTATATACATGTTGAAGGATATGCTCATTATATCAAACTAGAGCTTGTTAATGTTGAAGCTAATGATATGGTGTGGTTAGTTAGTATGTACATGTTACTACAGATGAGAGAAATAATTTCGAATTGTATAATATTTAATAGTTTTTAATATGTACGATTAGTGAATTTTAAAAAATCCCCCTGGCTGGACATAAATGCTCAATGAAAGCTTATCTCGTGTACTTGAGGTGGCGTCACTCGTATCCAGGGCCCACGAGAGCAGTACGTCAGATCTGGGAGTACTTGGACACTGACCTGTGAGGTATCCGGACTATCCGGGATCCGGCCTCCGCTTCATCAGAAGACGGACAACTTCCTAGCCAAACCTCAACGTCTGGTGGACTGGCTACACGAGGGAAAACTTCTAACGTACCAGGTAAACCGTTTAATATGGCTCTAGTTACTATTAACAATAATAATAAAACGTAGATGTTATAGTAAAAGCTAAAAAATAAAAAAGTTTGTATGGACCTCAACTAATTATTAAACTTGCTAGACACTCAGCAAGTGTCTGAACAAAACATGTACATGGCGCGACGGAGACTTCTCCAATCTATATTTCAGCACTAATGCTCTTAACGTAAAGGGTGTCATGTTATTCAGTGTAAAAATATTTTAAAAGTAACACAAATTAAACGACAAGACAGTATCTTTAAACGTAAAATGTACAAGTTTCTTTAATATCTACAAAATAGTAGTTTGCTTGTGGGTGCTGATTTTTATCAACATTTTATTTACAGTGAGCTTCGTTCTTTAGTCACCATAGCCGAGGACACAAGAGCGCCTAAAAAATAAACTGTTTTATCTTCTGTCAAATTGGTTTTTAATTTGTCAAAATTATGAGAAAAACAATAAAACACACCCTCACTAGGTTTAGTATGTTTACCACAGACATAGTCTCAAACACCAAAACTACTTCACATGATCCGTGGGATGATAACTCGGTAAACAATTTATGTTTATTCAATGGTATAGCGTATAAAACAGGAAAGAGTAGGCTGAACGTAAAATGCTAAGGAAACTGAAGTGTTGATTTAGAAGTAAGCACCGCAGCAACCATGCACTCTGTTGGATGGAAACTGTCTTCATAAAGTGATAACTGTAAAGGAAATCACTACAAAGACACCCCTGCCTGCCACCTGCTACTTAAGATTCGTCGGGGGAACTTTCACACCTATTTCGATGTTGAAACACGATTAAATAATATCAAAGAGCTGGTTAAATTCCACGTAAGCAATCACAACAAAAATTTTAGAACTATTAGTTATTTATAACTCATTAGTTTGACTATGGCTGAATATTTTTCACATAGACTATTCGTTAATATTAGTTTTTTGTAAATTATTTAACCATCCATACTGGACAGTAAACAAGTTTTAGTACATTTGTGTTTATATCATGTTCTAACCAGAAATATTAATATGTAATCATATATTTAGACAAATAAACATTAGAAAAATAAGTTAGTTATATTGGTTTAGATTTAATATTTAATAATTTTAAAACAATCTGGGAATACCTAGATGTATATAAGAGAGGATGATGCATCTGCTGTATTTGGTTAGTACGCATATATAACCTAATCTATAAGGATTGCTTTCAGAGCGGTGAAAGCCAGTTGCACGGAGCAAACGTGATTTAATTTTGTATAAGTAACTAAATTTAAAAAAGTCAATAATGTGTGTTCATGTACTACGTGTGGAATGCAACTCATAACTTATAACTCATTTATTGAACCAAAATAACAAATACAAAATTTGCATTGGTCATGTCAATTATTAGCTGATAACTAAAATTAAAGTAAGCAATAAACAATGGTGCTTCAATACGACCCCACAGTAATTACTAATTAGACAGGAGATTTGACAATGGGGCTGATTGCCCCGAAATTATAGTTATCAGAAAAAGACAACTAGGATTGAAGACGTAAAAAAGTTATTTAACCTATTATTAGTACATTTTATCAATCCAGGAAGCAAAAAATGGATAAATGAATTTCTTCTCACAAAAGCTACTGTCCGTGCATGAGATATTTGTGCTATCAGGAAATATAAAAAAGTATAAATAAATAAAAAAATAGGAAAAAATATATTTATAAAACATGACTGACAAATAATGAGTAATCATTTGGTTAGAAAAAATAAAAGAATAACAATAACGAAAAAATACCCCCGTTAGCAAACCTGCATACTAAGCGAATTTCTATTTACCTAAATGGATTCCTACTCAAATTTTCCCTAATATTGTCAGATTTTTTCCTATTTGAATAAAATTATATTTAGTGAGTACTTAGGTTTGCTACTACAGGAAAGGTATTGAGGTTGTTTATTGAAATCTTGATAGCTTAGTATGAAAAAACCAATTTGCCAACTTTTATTAAAATATATTCATAAACAAGCAAACTAAACAGTCTATTTATTCTCCATAAGATACATATCTTTTTGTACATTGTTGGTTGCAGTCTTCTAGAGGAGGTATAAGCGTGGATACAGAGCACGGTGATGGTGTGACCATCAGTAGACTGACTCTGGCCAATCTGAGAAACGAGGACACTGGGAGATATGTCTGCAAACCGATGTCTACCTCTCCAGCAGTCGTCACCATCATTGTGATAGAGGGTAAGCTGAAAAAGAAAACAAGAATGGAAGAAAATAAGTATAAGAATCAGTCCAAACTCCCTAAATATATATACATGATATGCCAGGGACCAACCTGTATACGCTACCCAGTACCCCTGTATGGCCAATCACCGGAGAGTAGGTAGGCTAGATTTAATTTGGACTTATTATTCTTCAACAACCAAGCTAACAGCTAAGATGAGGTTTGCTGTGATAACCTATCATTAGGTGATTTCCCTCAGATGTTAGGATGCTGCACAAATTACTCCAATGCATGGTATTAACAAATTATAATTTTATTCTTCAAAATAATGAAAATCCTTTATAATCTTCCTTATAAATGATACCTAATATTACTATATCAGTAATTAAATGGCAACAGTCTTACTTGGTAAATTTCCTGCGATTTGACTGGCTTAAATAGGCTGTGATTCCCAGTTCCTACGGACTATGACTGTTTCAAGTACAGTAGGCCTAATGCTTGAACTCGTCTGTAACAATTTCAAAAGAAATAATAACAGGTAAACCAAAGTAATACTAATTTCACATAATTGAGGCAAACATAATTAATTTAAGGTGATTTTACAATTTACAAAACATTCTCAGAACATGTGCTTTTTCATCCAAATGTAACATGAAAGTTAAGTATTTAATATTTGACATTTACAAAGTTATTAACTGACAGACAATCAAAAGAATATATATAATCATAGGTAAAAACATGGTGAACAAGATTATTAACAATACAATACCACATAAATCAATTTTCTTATTTTTAAAATGTTTTCTACTTACATTTTCACGAGTTTGTACAATTTTTAAGGGAATCAGCCAACTAAGAAAGATTTGAAGAAACAGCTCATTACAAAAATGACTTTAGTTAATTCACAGCTGTTCTCCAGTTCTGCCAACAAGGTGAAGTGTAATAACAGTCAAACTAGTTAGCCATTGATCATGATTATATGTACATTATATATTCTGTGAATTAAAATAATTTAAATTTAATTAACATTTCCCTTACATCAGTATAAAATATCCCTCTACCTCTTTTTAAATTTGAATTATTTTAAAATCCAACTAAATATGTTTATACAAATCAAAGAAATAAACATACTAATCTTCACAACAAAATTTTCACTTATATCTACACAATTCAAACTCAAAATGAAAAAAAAAATATATATTTTTCCCATCTGTGAACTTTTCTATAACTATGCGGTGTTCTTTGCGATGAGTATTTAGTACCAAAATTCACCGCGAGATAGCTATACAGAACAGACACATTATTATTATCCAACATAGTTACAACAGAGGCTAATAGATGGCAGCATCAAACAAGATAATCAATTCCTTCAACATGCGTGCTACGGTGCTACCAACATTCAAAGCAATATCTTTATTGATAATCAATAATCATCTTTTTAAATAATTCAAAATGTTCATGTTTCTTGTCCTAACAAACTATTTACAAATACATTTAAGTCATATACCCTGACAATTAAAGAGATTGTATAACATTAAGATCATAGAACTCATTTTTCATTTGTTTTATCAACATTCAAAATCTCAAATAAAAAACTCTGTGTTGGCCAACCTGGAAAATAACATCAAGTGATTTGTTTTAAAGAAAAAACGCCATTTCAGTTTTGAATAGCTAGTGTGTTGTGTTTTGTGTGTCGTGTGATGTTTTACTTTAAATTTTTAGTTTTGTGTATTTTGCGTGTGAAAGTGTTAGTGTCTAGTCAAACATCAATTTGAAGTTGGATGTTTTGGTCGATGCATTGATGGCAGTTAGGCTGACTTGTAAATCGAGTTCTTTTTCCTTTTGATCTGGTACATCTTCTTCCTTTAACGTCACAGGAACATAGGTTTCTACGATTGATTCAAGTAGGCCTACCTTATTCATTGTGAATCCAACAGTTTTACACTCCACGATTTTTGTGCTCAAGGGCCGTTTTGTGTGATTGGGCCAGATGCCATACAAATGTTGATCAGTGATGTTAGCTTCATTTTTGCTTATTATTGCATTTCGTAAAAATGAAAGCAAGGGGGTCAATTCGAGTCCATTGCATTCTGTGATCTCACTGAGATAACCTTCAACAGGGTTAGGTAACTTGTATATAGGCATGGTGTGTATTTGCGTGTGATTAGGATTTGTAGGCATATTTAACATATTATTTTGCATGTTAGGGTTTTCATTTAGGTTAGTTTCAGTAGGCTCTATAGGTTTAATTGTAGTTTCTTGATTCGTCCCTTCCGGTGTAGAAGTATGATTTAGGTTAGGCCTATTTGGTTTTGTCGGGCTAGTTAACTGTTCAACTAAGTTTTCTTCCTTGACGATTGACTTATTTAAATCCTCTTCATATTGGTTCAATTCAGGTAAAGATACTTGGTTTTTGATTTCATCAAATTTGCTTTGCAGTTCTTGTAAATTGACCTTCAATTTGTCCAACTTACCGAAGCAGTTTGGACCTAACATACATGCGCTTATATTACTTATTCTAAGGTGCAGATGAGTACATAGAGCTGACATTCTTGCTATGTACAGGTTGCTCGGTTGGGTATCACACTGTTCTATAAGTAGCTGAAATCGATCTACCTTAATTTCTACGGTTTGAAATTCAGTACTTAAAGCTAATTTCCCAATAAGATTGTTCACATCTGGTTGAACCTGTAAAATAGATCTGAGCTGTTTTCTGAGTGCTTCTACATTGTCAAAGGTAGAATCTTCTCCTCTACTTAAAATTTCATAGTTAAGTTCATCTTTACTTAAATAATTTAAATTGAATTTTTCCATTGTCGGAAATTACTAGACCTATTCATACACAGAATAATTTTGGCAGCTTATATGAATCACTTGCTGAAACAAACTAATTTTATGGCAGAAGTTATGCCACTTCTTAAAATTTTCTTGTAGGCTAGCAAAGTTAACTTGAGGTTAGCAAAGTTCACCACAATGTCTAGGTTTTAAATAAGCGCAAGGGTTGAAATTAATAATAAATTAGCAGAGTTGCGCACTTCTATACGCTACCCAGTACCCCTGTATGGCCAATCACCGGAGAGTAGGTAGGCTAGATTTAATTTGGACTTATTATTCTTCAACAACCAAGCTAACAGCTAAGATGAGGTTTGCTGTGATAACCTATCATTAGGTGATTTCCCTCAGATGTTAGGATGCTGCACAAATTACTCCAATGCATGGTATTAACAAATTATAATTTTATTCTTCAAAATAATGAAAATCCTTTATAATCTTCCTTATAAATGATACCTAATATTACTATATCAGTAATTAAATGGCAACAGTCTTACTTGGTAAATTTCCTGCGATTTGACTGGCTTAAATAGGCTGTGATTCCCAGTTCCTACGGACTATGACTGTTTCAAGTACAGTAGGCCTAATGCTTGAACTCGTCTGTAACAATTTCAAAAGAAATAATAACAGGTAAACCAAAGTAATACTAATTTCACATAATTGAGGCAAACATAATTAATTTAAGGTGATTTTACAATTTACAAAACATTCTCAGAACATGTGCTTTTTCATCCAAATGTAACATGAAAGTTAAGTATTTAATATTTGACATTTACAAAGTTATTAACTGACAGACAATCAAAAGAATATATATAATCATAGGTAAAAACATGGTGAACAAGATTATTAACTCATTGTTCTTAAATTATTGTGGACGGACTCATCAATTTTGATGTTTATTTGTTTTCACGTCCAGTGCCTTTGGATGACTGAAATCTGTCATCGCATGCTGATTGGTTCCTGGAATCTGGAACCCAATTTCAGCTGTCTCTAGTAGACATTTCTGAATTTCGATATGACTAATCAAAGTCATTTTAAACTAAATTGAGGTATAATTAATAATATACATAGTCTCTGTGAAATCTTGAAAAGTAGGGCACTCTTGACATTGTGGATTGCTAAATTCTTCCACTGTCACACAGAGTTTGTAAAAGCGAGTCGAACGCTCGTACTGCCCAGTGAATGCTGGAATCTCGTAATGAACACGTTCCACGCAAATCACATTTACTGTTGTCTCATGGTGGTCTTCGGACCTATCCATGACTGAAGAGACTAAAATAAAGTCGAAACAACAGAGCACACTTCTAATCCTGAAAGATGGATTAGTCGTATTGGACATAGCGCAGGCTCAATCGAATTTCGAATCTGCAAACCACACACGAACATGGATCGTACACACCCGAGACGGTACGTGTGACAATCTCAATGCTCGGAGAGGTTGAGATTTTGGTTTTGTAATTTGAAAGAACATTCAAAAGAATGTAATTGAAAATTGGCAAGGGATTCGTCCCATTTACCTTCAAAAAGATTAACCTGTAATGAAGCGCTTGTCTTATCCCCTCACAATAACGCGTAACCGGGTTTTAGACGTAGGGCAGATGCTGATCTTAATTGCAGCTATCAACCACGAAAGCTATATGCTGTGGGAACCCTCACGATCGCCGGACAGGCAGATGCCGCCCACACGAATTGTGTAGAAGAGCCTAAACGTGCTACTGTTTGATGATATCAGTGATTCTAAATTTGCAGTCTGATTGAGAAGACTGACCAGCTCCGCTGGATTTGCAACTACATCACCTGTCACAATCACTTTAACCAATTAATAATTTTGAGTGACTTGTAACATTAGGTGCAAGTGTTTGGCTTCGCAACCTTCTAAATTCTAAATTAATTTTGCAGGTTAGATGTATTGGTCACGAAACTCGTTCTTGGGGTTATACGTGCGAAAAGACGCCCTAGTGGCGGAATCACTCTTGCAACGTAAAAGGTGCGATTATACGCATAACGATATCATCTGTTTCGGTCTCAGGGCTAGATAGCCCATACCTCATCAGGTGCACACTTTAGTGCACGACAGATTGAATTATAATGTGTTGAGGACGGATTAAATTTTTCATCGTCCAACTGAAATTTTGAATTTTGATGTTTCTAAATTTTGAAAAGATGAAATTGTCAACTTAGAGTTGACCAGGCACACCTGAGTATTTACTCATTGTTCTTAAATTATTGTGGACGGACTCATCAATTTTGATGTTTATTTGTTTTCACGTCCAGTGCCTTTGGATGACTGAAATCTGTCATCGCGATGACAGATTTCAGTCATCCAAAGGCACTGGACGTGAAAACAAATAAACATCAAAATTGATGAGTCCGTCCACAATAATTTAAGAACAATGAGTAAATACTCAGGTGTGCCTGGTCAACTCTAAGTTGACAATTTCATCTTTTCAAAATTTAGAAACATCAAAATTCAAAATTTCAGTTGGACGATGAAAAATTTAATCCGTCCTCAACACATTATAATTCAATCTGTCGTGCACTAAAGTGTGCACCTGATGAGGTATGGGCTATCTAGCCCTGAGACCGAAACAGATGATATCGTTATGCGTATAATCGCACCTTTTACGTTGCAAGAGTGATTCCGCCACTAGGGCGTCTTTTCGCACGTATAACCCCAAGAACGAGTTTCGTGACCAATACATCTAACCTGCAAAATTAATTTAGAATTTAGAAGGTTGCGAAGCCAAACACTTGCACCTAATGTTACAAGTCACTCAAAATTATTAATTGGTTAAAGTGATTGTGACAGGTGATGTAGTTGCAAATCCAGCGGAGCTGGTCAGTCTTCTCAATCAGACTGCAAATTTAGAATCACTGATATCATCAAACAGTAGCACGTTTAGGCTCTTCTACACAATTCGTGTGGGCGGCATCTGCCTGTCCGGCGATCGTGAGGGTTCCCACAGCATATAGCTTTCGTGGTTGATAGCTGCAATTAAGATCAGCATCTGCCCTACGTCTAAAACCCGGTTACGCGTTATTGTGAGGGGATAAGACAAGCGCTTCATTACAGGTTAATCTTTTTGAAGGTAAATGGGACGAATCCCTTGCCAATTTTCAATTACATTCTTTTGAATGTTCTTTCAAATTACAAAACCAAAATCTCAACCTCTCCGAGCATTGAGATTGTCACACGTACCGTCTCGGGTGTGTACGATCCATGTTCGTGTGTGGTTTGCAGATTCGAAATTCGATTGAGCCTGCGCTATGTCCAATACGACTAATCCATCTTTCAGGATTAGAAGTGTGCTCTGTTGTTTCGACTTTATTTTAGTCTCTTCAGTCATGGATAGGTCCGAAGACCACCATGAGACAACAGTAAATGTGATTTGCGTGGAACGTGTTCATTACGAGATTCCAGCATTCACTGGGCAGTACGAGCGTTCGACTCGCTTTTACAAACTCTGTGTGACAGTGGAAGAATTTAGCAATCCACAATGTCAAGAGTGCCCTACTTTTCAAGATTTCACAGAGACTATGTATATTATTAATTATACCTCAATTTAGTTTAAAATGACTTTGATTAGTCATATCGAAATTCAGAAATGTCTACTAGAGACAGCTGAAATTGGGTTCCAGATTCCAGGAACCAATCAGCATGCGATGACAGATTTCAGTCATCCAAAGGCACTGGACGTGAAAACAAATAAACATCAAAAAAGATTATTAACAATACAATACCACATAAATCAATTTTCTTATTTTTAAAATGTTTTCTACTTACATTTTCACGAGTTTGTACAATTTTTAAGGGAATCAGCCAACTAAGAAAGATTTGAAGAAACAGCTCATTACAAAAATGACTTTAGTTAATTCACAGCTGTTCTCCAGTTCTGCCAACAAGGTGAAGTGTAATAACAGTCAAACTAGTTAGCCATTGATCATGATTATATGTACATTATATATTCTGTGAATTAAAATAATTTAAATTTAATTAACATTTCCCTTACATCAGTATACCTGTCCATTTGGTGCTTAGTTGCAAAAAGCAACAACATACCATAGTCTTACTATTTAAGTTTCCAAATGGGCAAATTACGTGTTTGATTATTGTTAGCCAAATATATACTCATTTTATTTTTAAATATTATTTAATATTAGATTATTACCAGAGTCTGAACTTTAAAAACATTCTTAGACAGAGAAACCAACTGTAGCTTACTGTATTTGCAACCAGCACTAGATGAGGTTAAACAGTGTCAGTTTGTGTTAATGTTTACATGTTTCACGGTTGGCAGCATTTCAAGAATGAGCACTGATAAAGCTAAGTTGCCCAATCACTTCCTACCCTTCATTATATAATTGTAATTTGGCTCTTATTACACAATACTGCTGTTTTTAAAATTTTCTGATCATTTAACATGTTTAATTGCTATCGCTGGTAATCATGCAGTCTAATTAATAGTGTTCACCACACTACGTAGTTATTGAAAACAAAATTGTTAATTGCCAATTAAAAAGGTAGATGTTTCTTCGAACGTATAACAAATTATAGAAGGGTTCTGATCCAAAATGTATTATACCACAAATCAATAATAGTACATACAAGTGAGGAATAAAAGAAAATATGAATTTTTATGATGGTAGCATAAAATCTAGCATAAAATGTAGTCTTTGTAATTTATTAAGGTTAAACAATATGTAGATTACGTGAAACCCGTCAAAATCGACGGTTACTTTCAAGAGTTGCGCTAATCATGCATCTAACTCTGATAAATAGAATGAAATCACAGAATCACAACTATAACATTTAGCTTTGTTTAGTGAGTAAAAAATAAGTGTAAACATAATAATGACTATTGGGTAAGTTACAAAATATGGTTTGATCATTCAATTTATAAAATATTTCCAGTACGTCATCAGAGTTATAATGACTATGTTAACTGGTTTCATTTCCTTTTAGAAGAAAATTTCGATATAACTAAAACCATGTCGATGGTACTATTGTGGTAAACACAAAATCTAAGTTTTTATTTCAGAAAAATTAAATACCTGTTAAAAAAGAACGTCAGCTGTGTAAATATAGATTTTTCCTGGTCGGTCATCATGGTCATTGATGGATATTTACTGTCTAAAATCATACGTTTTAATTAATGTTGCTTAATGTATGAAATCACATGTTAAAATACTTTGTTTACAGTTGATTGTTTGTGTTAAGATTTTGATTTAAAATGGACTTTTTTGATTGTGTTTGATTCTGAATTTACTAATTTCTTACATATTTAACAGTCATCATACCGTACTTCTGTGCTAATCGATTCACCTCAAACGCCTCAAACATAGCTTTGAGAAATCTGGCTGTGGAGTTGTTAAATCTGGAATTATTTGACATGCGGATGTCAGTTGTCTAAGCTTTATCAATTACACGAAGTTCCCAATATAATCCCTGTCCAAAAAAGAGATGGTTCTAAGTGTAGTGGAATATACTTGTAGAGAGCCTGAATTTTATTCGTGAACCGTAGGGCCCACATTCATACGGTCGTACGGCTTAATCGGAAACAAATAATGCAAATGACTTAGCAATGCTGCATTTCCAAAAAGCAAATATAGTTTAAATTGGCTGTTGTGTTAATAGCTACGTTTACATGCATTGTTGTTAATCAACGAATTTTAAACAGGATGATGAGATCTAGTTTAAAGGAAACATCACATTCCTGCCCTCACAGCAGCTGCTTGAATGGTAATAATTACTCTTGGGGCAAATTTTTTACAATCGAAGTGCTGTGTTATTTTAAAAAATCTCACTCAAGAGCAAGTGGCCCATGGTTCGTAAGGCCACAGCCAATCATCTATCAAGATGCCATTTTTTGTCAGATTTCTGTGTTAGGATGTTATTAGGCATGATAAGAGCACAATGAACTTCTTCAGCAGATGAAGAATTAATAATAATCAATCCTGTTGATTAAGAAAATTATAAGACGATTTCACAATCCAAGCACATTTAAATGGCTCTAGCCTGGAACGTTTTGTAGTATCGAGTTTGAGTATTTTTGTACGTAACTATCTGGGTAAAAGTTACGGAATATTCTTCAGGCTACAACTCGCTGTACTTTAAGAATATTTTGTTAGAGATTAATTAAGTGGTTTTTGTTGCTGAATTGTGTTAGTAAACATAGTTAGTTTTTTGTTAGTCTAAAGGCTCTCGGAGAGTTTAAGTTCTTATTTGTATACCATAGGCTATTGTGGGAAGCCATATTGTCTAGTTTCTGAAATCGTTTACAAAATGGCAAACGTTTAATAATTAGTAAAATGTATTTTTTTATTTTATATTCCAACGGACAGCTCCATTTTGATATCGATTAACATACGAACAAGACTTGCATACGACTACTAACATGTAAATTGATTGTTTTGCTTCTTTTTTGATAGTTAATAAAATTTAGTCATTATGCCTTCAAAAAAGGTCAGTTTGAACGTCGCGGCCTTGTGTAGCCTATTAGAGGTGGCTATGGTATTAAACGATCGACAAATAATTTAATGGCTTATCTTCAGGCCAAGACCTTTCTTTAGAAGACCCTACGCCAGCCGTTCTCCAAAGTTAGTGGAGACAAAGAAAAACAGTTTCAAATTAATATATAGATCTGCATTGGCCATCCGTCTGCAATTAACAGACACAATAGTCGGGCATTATGTTTATTGTCATTGTGTCTGTACACCTGGTCCCTTGGCATACCTAAAGAAGACCAAGGAAAGAGTGTGAAACCATTATCACGAGCAAGGGGGTCCAAAGGTGCATAATGATCAATGATTTGTACGACAACTGAGATCTTGCGAATGAGATGCACAATAAGCTGACAAAATGATATCTCACACCAATAATTTAAAAGACTGGCCCTCTGTAAAGAGTCTGTGTTCATTGGCAAGATAAAACATAAATGATAAATACAGAATTTACTACTACCGGTACCCACCCTTACCTTTAGTCAAATGTATTTGTACGAGACACCGACATAAAGACTATATTAACTTTGCAACACATTTTTAGGAGAAAAGACAGCAATGTTGGGCCGTAGCTCTGCCACACTTCCAGTCAACCATTGGGTCGTCATGATTGTCCTAGTACTACTGACTGTGAGACACTAGTGCGTCAACTACACTGAACTGAACTCCTCCGAGAGCTGCATATGTACTCAAGTCTCTAGACCTCTTTGACAGTTCCTTGACACAATCTCTGTAATAAAATGTAAAAAGTCTCTTTTACCTTTTTGTAATAAAGTATGTTTCATCTTTTCCTGATGTATTGGAACATCCTGTAGGGATTGCTGTACTTTTTCTTCTTTTAAGAGCGTTTACCTTGCATAGTTCAATACTATGGGGAAATGTACTAATAAAAAGTAATGGCAGATACCAGGATCCGACCCCACCACATCGCCAAATTGATTTTTCATTGGATGGACAAATTATTCAAATCAAAAGATAACTCAAACCAGTAGTTTGGGCTTTATGTACTAGAATTAAACTCCTTGCCCTTTGGAAACTCTAAAGCCTATATTTTTTTGATTGAGTGGGTTGATACTTACTCTTTTGTTTTAAATACACTCTTTAATATTCACACCCTCTACTTTCAGAGTACAATCTTTACTGTTGCACATCCCATTGTTGTCCATTGTTAGATAATATAGGTCATAAAATCGAGTTTGAAAAATCATTAACCTTTAAGTATTTTGAGAAGTTGTAGCCAGAAAAACAAAGCGACCATGGGATATGGGAGGAATTATTTATTTACCAGTTCGGACAAGATCACCGCTGTATTACGATTTAGATAACAAAACTGGGAATGAGTACCGCCAGTCAGCTGATACCATTACGTCACTCTCCCGTGTCGTGTTCCTCAGTAGGCCTACAAATGTCGTCCGGTCGAGTTTTATCCGTTTTATCTAAACGAGCGTACGCTACGCAAATACGTGTAAATAGCATGCTAAAATGTTCGGTGTTTATTTCTATATGTGTATATATGTGATTCCTGTAACAATCATCTCTCGATGTGAAAATTTTACATACAAAAATGCTGCTGAAGATGAGCCGTGTCAAGGCTTGAAACATGTACAGCATAATCAACTACAATTGACACCTACTGGCATACGTAAGTAGATTATTATCTATAGTAAATATGTTCTTAAACCATTCACCATTAAAATGTATTAGTTTACTTATTGTGTCCAGTACCGGTAGTTGTTTGAGTTTTATTTTGGTAGGCAGCATTTAGTTTTTGAGTCATCTGTCACCAAAGAATATTAATTGTTATTATATAGGCGTCCTTTATTGACAACTAAACTTAACCAAATCAGCCTAGGCTTATGCCTGCAGTTATAACTTCATTTATTCAAGAAAGTTGCATCGGATTTAGGCCTAGCACATTAGTTAGTAGGAGAGGGGCGATGTCTACTTGTACCGGCGTCTAGTTGTACCTGCTGCATTTTGGTGACAGGCGTCTAGTTGTACCCCGTCCAAAGCTGTAGAGACAACTTGACGATGGTGCGGACGTCTAGTTGTACCTACGTCTAGTTGTCTCTACGTCTAGTTGTACCTCTTAAAAATCTACAGGTACAACTAGTCGGGAACGTCACCGTCTACTTGTACCTCATACGTCTGCGTCTACTTGTACCTACGACTACTTGTACCTACGACTACTTGTACCTACGACTACTTGTACCTACGACTACTTGTACCTACGACTAGTTGTACCTACGCCTACTTGTACCTACGTCTAGTTGTACCTGCGGCTAGTTGTGTCTCCCCTTCAACTTGTCACCAGTTTAAGGGATTTATTTTATTTCTTAAAAAAAAAATCATACAATCTTACAACAATTTATTATAAACAATTTGCTACAAAAGCCAGGAAAATTTGGCTTGTCTGCAGCTCATTGAGAAACCCCTGTTCTTGACAACGACGTACTTTGTGTCCCTTGGTCAGTCCTGATCCATATTACACTTTGGTTTTCCTTATTTCTTGTCAAGATCTGCTATCATTGTTTTTTCCACTTAAACTCTACCTTTCTATAGAAAACTAACATTAACTAGCTTAAACAACAACTTTAAACAATTATCTTAAATAAATAAATTCAGAGTTTACAAAAACAAGTAATTGAGTATAATAAAGTGTTTTGTATGGTATTAGTCACGGAGAATATTACAATAAGTTCAAATTAAAAATGTATATGTTATTCTTATGGATATTACGTAAACTGGCGTAGTTTGGTAGTTGATGCATATACTTTGACAAATTAGTTTATTTCACACTTAACTACTAACTTTTCTATAAAAAAAACATCTTAATTACCTTCTACGAAAACGTAATTAAAGCTCAGTATTGAAATACCATTGAAAAATAACCCAGATATGACTTTTTTTGCGCGCGCTTATTAGTTCTTAGTAAAACTAATCTTGGTTTAGTTGCAGACTACATAGCCAGTGTACACATACCTAGCTCAGTATAAAATTTAGTTTATATAGTTTAAATGTAATGAAGAAATATATAAAAAGAACAAAATAATTATGAATGTAAAAAATAATTTACATATAATTGAATTTAACAAGAACATGTATTCAAAGGGAAAAATATACTATAATAGAAATTAAAATTCAGTTAAGTTTAATCACTACGAGCTGTTGGCCCTTCCTACGTAATAGCTATTAAAAGGTTCAGTTAAAACTTAAGGATAAATAAAGAAGCTTACTAATCCGTTTGGGATATAATTATTTTATCATTTCTGGTAATAATTTCAAGATTAAAAACAGACTTATTATAAAAATAAAAATAAAATATATTGTTAGAAATATACAGTATAAGGAAAATACAATTGAATGAACTCTATCAAACACTTAAATAAAAATATAGTTAGTAAGTTTTATTTAATCAGTGAGAACTGATTGGTTGCTTTAGTCAAATGTTAGTCAAATATATAGTCAATACCTAGCCGTGGTTCTTGTTGGTGTACGCAAACTTCGCTTGTCAAATTCCACTGACACAAGGGTCAAGCCTTGTCTCACCCTCGTCAAACATCAACCTGGCGGGTCGTACGCAGTCTTCGCTAAATTCCAGCTGTACGCAAATTTCGCGTCACTACTTGGTAGATGTGTCCAAAGAAAGGTATGTATTGGTCTGTAGATGAGTTATCAAAAAAAAAAACTAAGCAAAATCCCTTAGGACTCTGCCCTAGAAGCCTTTAAAGATCCCTCCACAGAGTTGTTTACATTTTGGCCATGTGAATAATACTTTTTAATGAAACAGCTGTTTATTTTTAAATTGTATTTCAAACAATGGAGTTAATGTTATTTTCTAATTTTAAAATTGTTTTTCTTATTTTTCAGCCATGTTTTGCAATGTAACATTCCATTACGAAATCAGTGCAAAATCCTTTTATCACAGCAATTCATAAATTATTTCTTATTGAACTATCTTATATCTATTGTACTGGATGGTGTCTGCTTTTTTCACCACTTTTGCCTACATTTTATCATATTATTCTACACATATCAAATATTTATGTACAAATATCTGCTCTTATCATGTCCAATAAAATCCAAACATAGAAACATTGCCTAAAATGGTACCTATCTTGACAAATTATTTGCACCTGTCTATATTACGAACTTTGGCGCACTGGGTTGGTAACATTATTGAAAATAACACGACATGTTGGCTGTAAGATATGGTACAGAGAGAAAATACTATTTATGCAGCTACTGTCATGACAGAAAGGTCATATTCCATTTAAACTAGATCACATAATCCTTTATAAAATACGTTGATTAACAATATTTAAACGTCAATGTATACGTAACAGCCAATTTACAGTGTTTTTTGTTTTTGGAAATGTCCCATTGCTATGTCATTTGCATTATTTGCTGCCAATAAAGTCAAAAGGCCGTATGAACTAGGAGGCCCCTAACAGTTCAAGAATAAAATCCAACTTCACTTCAAGTATTACACTACACCTAACATTCTGTAGAGAGATTATATTGACAACTTTATGTTATTGATAAGGCTGAGACAACTAACTGACATCCCCCATGTCAAGAAATTCCAGCTTCAACAGTAACCTCAAAATAAATTTCTCAAAAGTAAGCTAGAGGGTGCATTCGTTGGCACAGAAGTAAGATATGAACTGACGCGACGTGACGAAGGAAAAATCAAACTTACACTGTAACGGATATACCTCCCTTTGAATATGTCTTCCCAAAAAAAGTTTTCTTTTCAAATAAAATCATATTATGTACACTGATGAAATCACGGAAGTGTTTAACTACAAAAGATCCACCAATACGATTTTAATACTATTTAAAGGTTCTTCCAAAGGAAGAGATACCAGATAACATACTAATAATAACTCCGATGACGTACGGTAAGGGGAATATTTTATTCACTGAATGATCAACCGAATTTGGCGACTAACGCAATTAATATCAATATTGGTTTTACACTTATTATTCTTTAAACAATGCTAAATGCTCAAAATATGTAGCCTATATTTCATCCAATTTATCGCAGTTAGGTGAATTAACGTAATCCTTGAAAGTAACCGTCGATTTCGACGGGTTTCACCTAGTTACTATTAAATAGTATTAGTTAATATATCGATGTTCACATGACCGGATGAGTCATCAGCTCTAACCCTAGTTCGTCGGTCATTACTCCTCGAGGCACCGGCCGATGGACCAGGGAACAGCTATGATTTACACTATCACCCTCAACTACGACATTTTTTTAGGCAAACATTCCAACGCTCATGATGACATCGAACACTCATGCATATTTTTTATATAGGCCTAGCCAGTCCAAAACCTGAATACACTGTAGGTATGAATCAGACCGCTTATATCATAAACAACTAAATATTAAGGCTAGTTTCCTAACCAGAGAACACACAAGAATGGCACTTTACAAGACTTTTTATACCAAGCCTTCATAAACTAAGAGTATTTCATAAGTTACGTTGCCTGTGTAGATTTAGACTTAAAATCAGTATAAAATCAGTAATGGGTTGAAAATCTAAGTGTTATTTACGTTTTGTTTGCATTATAATGTAGTGTACCTGTTTCTCGAAATCGACTAATTTTTAAGCTATGTGTATTACCAGGAATTATTTCAAAACTAATAAATAAATAACGTCTTTGTTGGGCAGCGTACATCAGATTATAGATCTGTTTTACATTAAAACTTTTGTCATTCAAGGAGTTTAAAATAATCAACTAAAAGCTTATGTTATTAATAAAAAAATCACACTGTT